GCCCGCCCCGGACACGCCCCCGCCCCGGACACGCCCCGGGCCACGCCCCCTCACCGCTCATCAGGCGGACGGGGGCGGGGCTACCGACACATGACACGCCCCCGGACACGCCCCCTCTCTGCGCACCAGACGGGGTGGGCGGGGTTCGTCACTTCTGGCCACGCCCATTCCCGTGGAGGCCACGCCCCCCTGGCGCGCCCGCCCTGGGGCCCCGACGGAGCCCCCGGCCCCGCTGCCCCTGCGGCCCCGCAGAGCGAGGGCAGCCCCGACCCCCGCGCCCCGCCGTCCCCCGCACCTCTGGTCACCCACAGCCCCAAAAACCCCTTGAATTAAACCCAAACCCAGCCCCTTTGCTGGCCCAAAGCCGCCCCCTCCCTGGCGGGGGCCGCTGCCTCCCAGCCTCGATTCCCCTCCCGACCACGGGTACACGCGGCTGCGGCGGGGGGTCGGTCACGGCGCAGGGCCCCCCTCCGCAGCCCACCGGGCCGGCTGAGGCCGGGCGCACTCAGCGCACGCCAGGGCCCCGCGCAGCGAAGGCCGCACAAGGGCGGCGGCGGCTCCGGGGGCCCGCGGCAGCCCCGAGCCCGCGTCGCTGCCCATCACGTCTGCCGCAGAGCACCGGCGGGCTCGTGCCACGCGGGGCGGGGGGGCGGCCGCGGGCCCGCGGCGGCGGGGCCGTCGTCTGGCATCTCAATCAGCGGCGCCGGGGCCGCCGGGCGGCTCGGGCAGTGACAGCCGCCTCCAGCGCTGGAATTAAGCAGAGGCCGCGGCAGCATCTGCGGCTCGGCGGGTCACGGGGCCGGGGCCGCTCCGCGGGGGCCGCGCACGCTGCGTGGGGCCCGGGCAGCGCGGGCAGGGGTGGCTTGGGGTGCGCAGAGGGACCTCGGCATCAGCTTGGACCAGCACGGGTGTGTGCATGCGTCAGCACAARGGGCACGCGTGTGCAAAGCTGCACAGTTCTGCTGGTGCAAGGCATGTGTGTGGGCGCACAGACATGCGTGTGCACCGCTGTGCACATGGCAATGCAACAATGCAACATGCACATGGATACGTGTGCACATGTGTGCAAACACGCACATGTGCACAGACACTCACTCATAGGCACGTTGTCCTGTATGTGCCAACGTAACATGCATGCAAACACATGTGCAAGCGCACACGTGTACAAATGAGCAACAGATGCGTACAGCTGGCAATGCAACATGCACACAAGTGTGTGTGTGTAAATGCAATTGTGCAAACCTGTGTACAAAGTGCATTGCTGCGCATGAGCCCATGCAACACACACACAAGTCCACATGCAAACACATGCACATGTGCACATGCACACATGTGCACACAGCCACACATTCATGTCTATGCATCATGCACGCCAACACACRCACAAGCACCCGTGCAAACACACATGCACACCCCCAAACCCAGCGGAAAACATCCCAGCTGCATCAGCCAACACGCGGCCTCTGTCACTGCCCTTTGCCACCGCGGGCACCGGGGACAGGGACACCCTGGGGCACCCGGGCGCATTCGGAGGTGCCGAGTGCGTGGGCGCTCATTAGGGCGCCCTTTGCAAGCTCCGCTCCGCTAAGGGACAGGGATGGGGGACGGGGGGGACATTTAATCATTTCTCCGAGCATCGATTTGTGAATCGATGGCGCTGCTCCGCTGCGGCGCGGGGCCCGCGCTGACCTCCTTCTCCTCCCCTGTGTGCGGGCAAAGCGCTTCCCGTTTAATCAGCGTGCAGAAATCAATTAGCCACTTATGACCCGCCGCTCCGCTTACTGGAGAGCGAGATAAAGATGCCACCAAGAAAAAAAAAATGTGTTTCATAAGAAGTTCCCGAAGTGGGAGGCAATTATTCCTATTATCTTAACGAGCCTTTTTTTTTTTTTTTTTTTTTTTTGCTTTTTTTTTGCTTCTTTTTGCTTTCTTTCCAAAACACCCGAGCCTGGCGGGCACAGCACTTTGTGCGCTCGCTTCCTGCTGGATGTGCAGCAGGGCGGTGGGTGCTGCCCCTTGCACCTACAGATGCACCCGCCGTGGCCCCCCCGCTGGCAGCTCCCTCCACGCTTTCACCGTCATGACAAACAGCTCGGAATCCGCTACTTCTTCCCTGATTCTTTTCTCTTCTCCCCCCTCCTCTTGCTTTTTTAATGAGCTCCTAAAAATACGCCCTGCCGCCTTGCGTAGGCGACGGGCTGAGTCACCCCCCGGCAGCACAGGGGGTGCCCCGGGGTGCTGGTCACCAATGTCCCCTCGGTGCAGGGGGTCTCGGCGTTACAAAGCCGGAGCTGGCGAGCGCCCGTGTGCTGAGCTGTACCCCCGAGCACACAGATGCATGCACACAGGCGCAGCCGAGYACATACACCCGTGCACTGGCTGCACGTGTGCAGGGTGCAGCCAGCCCCATGCAATGCACATGGGGTAGTGCACACATGTGTGCATCTACGCACACAAGTAGGTGCGCACATATGTGCTCCTGTCTGCACATAYGAGCATGCACACATGCAGGTGCTTGCATGCACATGCATGTACCTGCACATAAGCGTGCCTGCACAAACAGATGTGCGCACACGTGCRTGCACGGGCATGTGTATGCACGTGTGTCTGCACAGAGCTTTGCATGTGCACACCTCTGTCTACAGGCACACACAAACTTGAATGCAAGGCCATGAAGGCGCCTACAGTCATGCACACAYGTGCACATGAACATGCATGCGTGCACAGGCAGCTGCACCCACAGTCATGCGTGTGCGCAGCCGCATGCATGCGCCTTCAGCCTGTACACACGCTCACACACATGCACACTCCAGCAGGACCATCCTCTAACCCCTAACCMGCCCCTCTCCAAGGCCACCGTGTCCCCAAACCCAAGGTCCCTGCAGCAGAGGTGCCCGGAGTGGAGCAAACAAGCAGCAAATCTCCCAAGCGCAGAGTTTGCAAGGAAAAGGGCAGGTGGAAAAGCACGAAGCGCCACGGCCGCCGCTCCATCAGGAGGCTCCCGGTGACGCGAGCAGCCGCGCGCCAGCGGAAAGGTTAAGCTAACAAGAGCTCCTGCCGCAATCGATGTGCGGCGCGAGCCCCCGGCTGTTTGCTTTGCATAATTGCGCGGGGAGGTGGGCGGCGGGAGAGGCCGGGCCGAGCGTGCAGGCAGCAGGACAAGGGGGCTCAGGACCCTCTGGGCTGCAGAGTTGATCAAGGCGGATTTGGGGATGAGCATGGGGTGGACGTTGCTCCGTGCCTCGATTTCCCCGGTGTGGGCGAAGCTGGCAGCTCACGTGTGCATTTGTGCGAGGGAATGGCGGGTGTGCACAGGGGTGTGTGCAGGGGGCACGCGCACAAGTGCTGCRAGCACAAGTGCTTGTGCTTGCACAGCAATGCAAGTGCAGGTGTGCAGAGGGGCGCGTGCACGTGCTTGTGTGCGTGCACAGGTGAGTGCAATGCACTCGTGCACGTGAGTGTGAAAGGCTGAACACTGGGAGGGCCGATGTGCAACTCTGTGCATGTGCACATGAGTGCAGAGGGAGCGTTTGTGTATGCAGGCATGTGTTTGCACATGCGTGTTGGTGCATGGCTGCGTGTGTGCATGCATGGGAGAGTGCAGCGCAGTGCCCGCCTGCCTGTGTTTGTGCATATGAGTGGGAAAGGCTGCATATGCACAAGGGCAAGGGAGCCTAGGCGCGCAGAGGGGTGCGTGCACGAGTGTGCTCGTGCTTGCACACGTGTGTTTGGAGGTGCAGGGTGCGAGTGCAGCAGCGTGCCSGGCGTGCCTGCATGCACACACTCGTGTGCACGCACACACTCGGAATGGAGGTGCGTGCACAGACGAGCGCAGCGGTGCGTGCACGCRCAGGGAGAAACCACGCACTAACGATGATGCATGGGCGCTGCAGAAGTGACAGGCGGGCGGCACGGCGGCCGCCTTCCCGTGGCGCGGCCGGCAGCTCCGTCACGGCTGAGCCGCTGCGCCGGCTCCCGCGGCGCTGCCCGTGTCACCGGCACGGGGACGCGGCCGTGCAGGCGCCGTGGAGGCCGGTGCTGTGGCGTGGCCGGGCGTGGGGCCGCAGGGACAGAGCAGCCGCTGCTGGGCCCTCCAGGCTGTGGCGGGATGTGGTGGGAGGGCAGGGGTGGGCACGGGACCCCCTGGGTGCCAAGGGCTGTAAAGGCTGGGAAGAGCTCTGGGATCACTCTGGAATCTGGGATCACTGTGCTGGTTGTCATTGTCATGTGGGGACATCCATCCACCCACAAGTCCATCCTTCCGTCCATCCAGCCATCCTTCCTTCTGTCCATGCCAGCACTCTTCCACCTCATCCACACATATATCCGTTCCTCCACCCACACATCCATGCAGTCATCCACAGAACCCTTCCCATTTCCATGCATTATCCATCTTCACATCCGTCTATCCACATGTCTATCCATCCATGCATGCATCCATCCATGTCTAGGCATTCACCTGGCAACACATCCATTCGTCCATCTATCCACCCGTCCACCCACACATCCATCCATTCATCCATCCATCCACCCCTATGACCATGCCTCCATGCACCCATCCACACCTGTGCCCATGTGTCCATCTGCCCACACATCCATCCACCCATGCCCACATGTCTGGGCATCCATCTATCCCCCAGTCCATCCATCCATCCCTCCACCCAGCCGCCCACTCACCCATCTCTAAGTGATGGGTCCAGGGCAGCTTGCACTGCTGCCCGCTGGGAGGGCCTGGCCTGGATGTCCCCCTGGATGCCCCCACGGACCAGCCAGCACTGGGATGCCACATCCCTGCAAACCCCCTTGGTGATGGGCCTGTCCTGGGCTGCCCTTGTATCCACCATGGATCTGTGAGAATCCATGAGGAAGGAGCCCAGCTTGGTGCTCAAGGAAGAAATGTCTTCAGCCAGAAGATGCTCGGCTGTTTGGAGAGGACCTGGGAGATGGTGCTGGCTGGCGGCCAGCCTGAGAGTTGGTTGGATACCTGGCTGTGTGGCTGGCTCGCTGAGGAGATGGCTGGTGGCCAGCTCGGTGCTTTGGCTGGTAAGTGGTTGCAGACTTGGCTGAGGACTTGACCAAAGAGCTGCATGGTTGCTGGCCTGGCTAGCTGGACAGCAAGGCGGCCGTTTGGCTGCCTGGTARAGGACCGGCCAGCTGGTGGCTTGAAGGCTGACTACATGGTTCAGCMTCCGGCCATCTGGCCAGCTGGGTGGTTGGCTAGCTGCAGGATGGTAGATTTGCAAGCTGGTTGACTAGCTGGCTGGTTAGTTGGCTAGCGGCTTGACTGGCTGGTCAGTTCTCTGGTTGGTTTACTGGCTGGCTAGCTGACTGATTGACTGGCTAGTTAGTTGACTAGCTATTTGGCTGGTTGGCTAGTTAATTGGCTGGCTGGCTAGTCACTGGGCTGGCTTGGCTGGTTATCTGGTGCGTTGACTGCTCCGTTGGCTGACTGYTGAGCTGCTCAGGCGGCTCCCAGCGCGGCTACCTGGTTGCCTGTCCTGTCTGCCCTGTTGGCTGGCGGGCAGGCCAGGCTGGCCSGCTGCTGCTCGGCTCGCGTGCCCACGGGCTGGCCGCCCAGGCGAGCGGCTCTGCTCCCTTGGCCACGGCGGTACGGCCTCCGTGCGCGCTGGGTGCCCCGCCGGGCGGCAAGCGGGCTGAGGGGCTGGCTGCTCGCTGGCCACCCGCAGGTCCCCACCTCGCACCGCTGGCCCTGGGTCCCCACGGGTGGCAGAGGGCCGCCCCACGGCGCGAGACGGGCGCCCCATCCCGGGCCACGGGAGCGGGGACGCTCCCGGCCCCAGCATGGCGGGGCCGGCGCATCCCCCGCGCTGTCCCCCTGCGTCACCCGGCCGCTAATTAACGATGTCCTGCACCCAGCGGGGCCCGCGCACCATCCCGCCGGGCTGCAATTAAGGGCTGGCAACACCGCGGCTTAATTAGAGGCTGCCTGATGGGGCCGGGCGCTGCCTGACGGAAAATCACTGCTCTGCCGGCCAGGGCGAGYGGGGACCGGGGCCACCAGGGAGCAGAGCCGGCCGGGGGGGACGGGCCAGCCCGGGCGCCCGCGGGCCCCAGGACGCCGGGGCCCTCGAGCTGCTGCCCATTGGGCTCGTTGCCGCGCAAGGAGGGCACGTGTGGGCGGGCGATGGGCAACGCGGGCCGCGCGCCGTGTTTACCCGCTGTCAATCAGGCGCGGGGCTGCCGCTGCCTCATCTCGCTGCCTTCCCCGGGGGCCCCGGTGCGCGGACGCTGCGTCCGAATCAAGGTTACTCATAATCCTGTGGCACACAGAGACGCCGAGAGCACATATATTAAAGTCACACATTGATTTATTTTCGCTGGTGCCTCCTTCCCCGGTTGCTCGGAGGCGGCGCGGACCGGGCTCCTGCAGCATCTGCCACGCGGGGGTGGGACGGGGACGTGGGGTGGCGGCATGGGGGCGCTGAGTGATGGGATGGGGACACCGGGTGATGGGATGATGATGTTGGGTGCTGGGATGATGATGTTGGGGGCTGGGATGGGGATGCCGGGTGATGGGATGATGATGTTGGGGGCTGGGATGGGGATGCTGGGTGATGGGATGATGATGTTGGGGGCTGGGATGGGGATGCTGGGTGATGGGATGATGATGTTGGGTGATGGGATGATGTTGTTGGGTGATGGGATGATGTTGTTGGGGGCTGGGATGGGGATGCTGGGTGATGGGATGATGATGTTGGGGGCTGGGATGGGGATGCCGGGTGATGGGATGATGATGTTGGGTGATGGGATGGGGATGCTGGGTGATGGGATGGGGTGTTAGGTAATGGGACAGAAAATGTGAGTGTTAGGAGGCAGGTGGGTGGCAGGATGGGGATCATGAATGATGGGATGAGTATACAGGGTGATGGGACAGGGATGCTGGGATGATGATGTTGGGCAATGGGATGGGGACATTGCATGATGAGATGGAGATGCTGGTTAAGGGGATGGCGACATCGAATGATAGGAAGATCAAATAAGAGGATAAGGGTGTTGGAGGACCACTGAGTGACASGGCTGAGACACTGGATGGGGGGATGAGGACACTGGGTGCTGGTTTGGGGACACTGGAGGATGGGAAGAGGACGCTAGGTGACAAGCCAAGGGCCACGTGATGACACTGTGACACCCTGTGCCACGTGCAGGGGTAGCGGCCCTGGGTGACATCCCATGGTCTGGACACTGACTGGGGACGCTGCGTGACCCCATGGGTGACACAGCAGGGACCCCGCAGGGCTGCGAGGTGACATCGTCGCACAGCAGCTCCCGGCTGCCGGGCAGCCTGTCCGCAGCTCCCGTTGTGCCCGTGGGGAGGCCACATCCCAGCACATCCCGGCACATCCCGGCACATYCCGACATGGGGGGGGCTCCCCGCTCGCCGGCAGCGGCGGCAAAACCCCCTCCCCATGGGAAACCGCGGCCGCCCCCGAGCGACCCCCCGCCACCACCTGCAGCAGCCAAACGTTGGGCCTCAGTGCCCCCCACTCAAACAGACCTGGAGCAGCAGGGCAGAGGAGGGGGACGCTGCTCAGATGCCGCCCCATCCATTGTGGGAAGTGTGACGAGCTGCAGCGGGCTCAGCTCCCAGCACCGCCGAGCACCCCTGTGCGCGCCTGCAACCCCAAATGCCAGCCCTGGGGCAGCGCTGGCTCTGCAGCCCCTTCCCATGCAGGGGAGCACCGAGCGTCGCTGTTTCCCCCTGCAAAAACCCACCTGCGGCCCTGCTAAATTCATTAGCGCCTGGGAAACGCCGGCCGGCCGGGAGCGAGCGGCAAATGTGATTACGGCGCCGCTCTCGCTCCCGCCGGCCGCATCGCAGCCCCATTTGTCGCGGAGCCGGGAGACAACCCGGCCTCAGCTCTGGCTTCACCGCGGCCCTGATTTATRGCTGCCTGCAAGGGCCACCCCGCGCTGCCCCTGCAATTAAAGGTGCATTAGGAAAGAAATGAAGCAGGCGGAGGAGAGCAGCCGGCAGCGCCCGGTTAGTGGGCGGCTCCGGCATTCCCGGGTGGCCGGAGCGGGGCCGGAGCTCTGGGCCGGGCCGAGCAGCTCCTCAACTTTGCAGTGAGCAGTGAACTTTACAGAGCAGCCGCGGCGCGCTCGGCGCAGGAGCCACGCGGGAACGGGCTGGGAAAGGAGCGGCGGCAGCTTGAGAAGCGGGGGCGCCGGCGCCGCTCAGCACTTTATTAACGCGGCGGTGAGGAGGAGGCAGCGCCCGGGCGGCCCCGGGCGCCAGCACGAGATCTCCACCAGCAGAGACAGGCAGCCACAGCGCCCGGCCCGGCGGAGCCGCAGGGAACGGCTCGGATCRCGGCGCCGCAGCCCTGGCCGGACACCTCTTCCCCGCGAGGTGATTTACTGTCTGCTCCCCGGGGACAGGTTTAGGGCTTTCCGCTTAACCTCCAGGAAAGCAGCGGGTATCTCCCACCTGAGCTCACATGAGCCAGGGCCAAGGGGCTGGAGAGGAGCGACCCGGAGTCGGCCTCTAGCAGGGAAAGGACTCGAGAATTCACATTTTGCCCTGCTGAAGAGATGGTCCTGGAAGGCTCCAAWGCGCCTCAACTCACCCCAGGCTGAAGTTCAGCCCAGGGATAACAAGTGCTGTCCCTGGTAGCTGCAGTGGCGCAGCTGGAGCTATCCCATCCCCTGGATACAGCTGATCCATAAGTACCCGGGCAAGATGTTAAAGCAGGGAGACAGGAGACGGTGCTGCAAAAAAAACCCTCACCTTGGGAAGGCTGCAAGGAGAGGCCTCCTCTCACCGCCTGTGTTCAGCCGGCCACGCTCATTAAAGCGGGCGGCCTTTCCCTGTCCTTTTCCAACCTGGAAATCCGGGTTGGAAATCCATTATAAAAACAAACCCAGACCCTCAGAATGCAAGTTAGGAGAGGAAGGGCCGGAGGAGGCAGCAGAGGAGCGYGGCGAGGCCGGCGGCGGTGGCGGCGGCCGCGAGCCGTGCCCACAGGAAGGCGCGCGAGGCGGCGAGCTGGCCGTGCAGGCGCAGCACGTGCCGGCGCGTGCTGGCGCGCTCGCCCGAGTTGTCCACGACGTGGGTGGCCAGGCGGCGCTTCTCGTGCAGCGGCAGCTGGCAGGCGATGCGGGCCTGCGCCTCGGCGCGCGGCAGCCCGTCCCGCCGCATGAGCCGCTCCAGCTGCGTGCGCGGGTCGCTGCGGGACAGCGCGCGCTCAGGCCGCCGAGCCRGCCCGGCCACCCTGCCCGGCGCTGGGCTCCCCAGGGGAGCAGGGGGAGCATCGCCCTGCTGCACGGAGGCCACCACCACCCTGCAGGGCGTTCCTGCCGTCCCCACGGCCCCCAAGGAGGAGACCTGGGCATCCCCAATGCCCCCAGCCACCAGCAGCGAGGCTGGGCAAAGCCCAAAGACAGCGATTTTCTCCTGCCAGGTCTCCCTGAACAGCCCCACGCTCGTTAGCTGGGATAAGGGGCGGCRGCTCTTCTCCCTTTTACAGAAAAGGGGCAGCGCATCCAAAGGCTTCGCTCCAGCGCGCGGCTAAATTCCCTCYGGAGAGGCCAGGAGGTGACAAACCCCCTTGCAGCCAGCTGAGGCTGCAGCATCCCGAGGCTCCCCTCCCTGTGGCACTCACCAGTAGACCAGCACTGTGTATTTCATGAACTTGGTCAGTCGGTTGGTCTCGAAGAGCAGGGGGATGTCGAGGATCACGTAGCGGTAGCCTGCGGAAATGACACCCCRGACAAACGTCAGCGTCGCTGGGCTCTGCGAGCGCCCCGAGAGGCGCCCGCGGCCGCCCCGGCCGTGCCGAGCGGCGAGGGCTCTGCAGCTGCTCCGGGCGCGGAGCAGAGCACAGGCCTCCTCCTCCCTCGTGCAGGGAGCAAAACGGTTTCGTTTCCATGGGAAGAGAAAAAAAAAAAAAAAAGGCACAAACGCACAAAGCCACAGTGTCGGCTACCTTGCTCTCCGACCAAGGGGAGGCTGCAGAAAACACAACGGGCGCCGAGCGGCGCAGGCGACGGCGCGGCCCCCGCCCTGCCGCCCTCGCTCGCCTCTCAACAGCGCTGCCCGCAGCAGAACTGCCTTTCCTCTCTTTTCCTCTTTCACCCACTACAACTTTGCCAGSCTATGGTGATTCGAGCTGATGTCTCCCAGCTCTGTCTCCAGCCTCGTTTCCTTCTCTTTCTGGAAAGCTTTAGCTCAACAGTTCCACGTTTTCAGGGAGCAAACCCCTGCCACCCCCCTCCCGGCACCGCCACCGCGACGCGAGCGCCCACGAGCCACGTGCCCAGGGCCGCAAACGCGCACGGACGCCCCCGGCGCGAGAGGCACCTCTCGTGCCAGGCCCTCGAGCACGTCCCCAGAGGGGGGCRAAGCCCCTCTGAGCCCCTCTCTGATGCTTCCTCTTGCTTCTCCCCTCGCTGCTGAGGACYGTGTCCCCTGCAACAGAGCCCTGGGGACCGATGGGGACAGCAGGAGCAGAAGGACAGAGAGGAAACAGAGCCTCCCTCCCGCTGGGACAAACCAGAGGGTTTTGTTGCCGGCGCCTCCCACCTCTGGAGCATTCGGCGGAGGAGAATCTGCCCCCGCTGGGTGTCCCCGGCCGGGCCCGCGGTGGCCCCGGGCACCCCTGTGTCCTCCGCGCGCCGCAAAGCTGCACCGGCAGCTCCCGGGGACACCGCAGAGACCCGGCTGTGGGAAGAGCCCCGAGGCAGSAGACGCCACCGCCCTCGCTGCGCGGACACCGGAGCGCAGCCGGCTCGCGGAGGCCTCCGCTTTGGCCAGTGCGTTTATGTGGTTTTATTTTAAACTGAACTAACGAGCCCTGAGGTGGCCGCGGCAATTAGAGCTTTAACGAAGACACGATGGGCCAAGGAGCCCTCCTTGCACCAGCATCCCCGCCTCGAGCGTGTCCTCGCTGCCCTGCGGCCGGATCAATGGAGCGTCCTCAGCGCGCCGGGCCCGCGGAGATGACATCCAGCCACCCCGAATCATTAAGCCGGGACTAATGAGGACAAAGCAGCGGGCGCAGCGCTGGCGCCGGGGGCGGGACGGCTCCGCAGCGCGCGGCCCCTGCGCTGCCGGGGCGCTGGCGTGTCGCCTCCTTGGCCCCTTCCCTCCTCATCGTCGCCGTCGTCCGCGCGCCCGCGGCAGACGCGGCCCCCGGCACGGGGCTCTCGGGCCGTCACGCAGCTCGGCTCCGACAAGCCCCGCCAGCCGCGCTGGCTACGAAGACATCCTTCTGTCTACACGCGGAGCTGGGAAACAGCTGGTGATCTTATCTGGCATTTGACTAGACCGAGTTTGACAGCTGTATTTGTTCTATTTATCAGAGGGGAAAGCGGGACTTGGGAGGCTCAGCTGTCAGCCCCTTTCTCACCTTATCGGGTCTGAGAGCACTCGGCAGCTTTTGCCGAAGCCCGCAGAGGYTGGGGGGCCGTGGGCCAGGATACGCGGCCGCTTCCGGAGGCCTGACATTATCCGACCGGCAATCTCGGAAGGGGCCTGCCAGCGCTGGTGCTGTGGATGGGGCTGGAGCCACGGCGGAACGCGAGGGGCAGCGGCGAGAGGCGGCGCATCCTCGGAGCGCGGCCACGGCGGGGCACGAGGGCCGGCGCTGAGCAGCCCTTCCCGCCGCCCCGTCCCGCGCGCCGCGGCCTCTTACCGAGCACAAAGTACTTCAGGACCTGCTTCAGCATCTCCTTCTGGATCTCGGGGTGCGTGATGGCGTTCAGCAGTTGCCGCTCCTGCGGCTGCGAGAAGATGATGCGTGCCAGGGCCTCGCGGTTGATCTCTCCGCTCTCCAGCAGGATCCCGGGGCCAAAGTGATGCACGATCTGCCGGTAGGCCTTGCGGCGGGGCCGCACCACTGCCAACAGAGAGAGCCCGCGTTGGAGCCAGCCCCTCGGCGCGGCRAGCGGCACCAGGGCCGCCCGCAAAYGGGTTGTGCTCGTGAAACACCCGAGTTCCCGTGGGCAGAGCCGCGTGCCGGCGCGCAGAGCCCCGCGCGCGTTGCAGGACACTGTCACCACGCGGYCATCGTGGGTGACACCGTCACCACCGTGGGTCACGCTGTGACCACGCGGCCCCAGAGCCCCCCGGGCGGCTGCCGCCCACGCCGGGAGCCAGCGGGTCGAGCGAGCGGCCGGCTGCTGAGCACAGGAGAAATGGGCCGCTGCGCGCGGGGACAGCTGAGCAGGGAGGGCTGGGAAAGCAGAAACGTCAGGGCTATTTTCACCGAAAATTTCAGCTCTGGGGCAAACACGGCCCGGCTGCCGCGAGCGAGCGCCCGGCCTCGGCCGTCAACAAGGATTTTGCTGCTGTTAACCCCAGTCCCCGGACTCCTGCCGAGGACGGACACGAAGGCCACCTTGCAGGTCGGCTCCCAGGAGCTGTTTGCAGGCACTCGGACACTGCTCAGGGACGCWATGTCAGAGGCCTCAAAAATCACCAGCAAAAAAAGGTGCAATAATAAAAACATAATCAAGATCAAGCTGAGGTTAACCGCAGAGAAAGGCAGGGCATATATAATTTGTTCTCTAAATCCTGGAGCATTGCCACAGGTTGTAGCCTCCGGGCAGCGTAATAAAAGTCTGGAAGAGCAATTTCTTTCTCCATTGGAATTTTGCATTGGGTGAATTTCAGTGTGGGTGAAATCTATGGAGCAAACAAACAGATATGAAAAGAGAAGTGGAGAGAAAAATGAATTGATTGGGATGCAACCGATACCAAATACTCTTTTCCTATGGTCTCCGGGAGCTTTTAGCAAATTTTCTGCACCTCGAGAGGAATTACAGTGCAATAAAACGTGCGAGCAGCCTGGCTTTGAGCGGCTCCGCGCCGAGTTCTTCGGCAAACAGAAGAACCCGGGCGCTCCCCGGTGACACCGGCAAGCGCCAGCGGAACCTGCTCTGTTTCGCCACGCAGCCTCCAAACCGCTGCCATCCCAAGTCACCGGGTTCCGCRCAGCGGGCGCCGCTCTCCCCGTTACCCCACTGGCCCGGTGGGATTAACGGTCTCACCCGCAGCACGTGGTTAACGGAGGAGGCCAGAGGCTCTTCTACGCCCACGGGGGCGACAGACCTGGATTTGCAGGTGCCTTTGCAGTGAGGAGGGCACACTGAAGAGCAGCAAGGGCTGCAGCAGCCCAAGCACCCTGCGCTGTCCCCAGCCTGGGCACAAGCGCTGCGCTTTCGGTTTCAGTAGATTAAGGTGTAAATGGTTTYGTGGACCAATCTCCCAGCAGAGGAGAAAGAGCCAGCACAGGGGAGAAGGTTCCTCCTGTGTTGTAGTGACAGCAGGTGACACAACCGAGCTAGCTGCGAGCATGCAGGGGATGAGGAAAGGAGTCAAAGGAGCGGYGGGGACACAACGTGCGGAGCAGTGCAGCTCCCGTGCAAAGAGCTGCCTCCCGGAGCCGGCAGCACCGGCCACCCCAGCGCCAGGGCAGGGACGGGGGCCGGAGCCGAGATTTCGCTGCTCTGTTTGTTATTAGGCTGTGGGGTTTATTTTTAATTAAAGACACATCCTCGCTCCAGCTCCCAGGACAGCTGCTCTGCATTCCTCGTGGCTTGGGCGATCCGACGGGTGTTTAATGCACCCAGAGCACCCTCTGCCGTCTGCACGGCGGCAGACGCGGGCGCCACGGGGAGCCGGGCGGGACGGGCGCCGCGGGACCGACCTTCCCTGGCAATGACATCGGCGTCGATGACGGCACAGCCCAGCTCCCGCAGCATGGCCACCACCGTGCTCTTCCCCGTGGCGATGCCTCCYGAGAGCCCCACCAGGAACATGCTGCTCTGCAACAGAAAGCARGAGCTGGGGGCTGCGCAGCGGCGCCCGCACCGCACGCGGGGACGATCTCCCCGAGGTGACGTTATCTGAGCCCGCTGCGCTCATCCCCACGCGGCCTCCGGCGGCGGCGAAGATCCTSCCCGAGCCCCAGCGGGTGCCTCTGGTCTCACAGTGGTGAGAACTGAGGCAGGTTAAGCTGGGCCCCCCTAGAGCTGCCAACTCGGGAGGTGCAAGTCGGGCTCCCGCAGCGCCACGGGACTCTCCGCACCCGCTCCCGTTCAGCGTCTGTCCAGACGCGGCCATCGCGGCACTCCAAGCTGGACGTTTCTGGCGGGGTCATTGCAGGTGACCCYGAGTCGGTGACAAGGGCAAGGAGCCGCACGGAGGCGGGCAGGGGACGGACGGGCYGCAGCGGTGACGGGCCGCCCCGCCGTGACGGGCACGCGGAGCCGCAGGCAGCGCTGTCACCGGCAGCCCGCGCCGTCGGCACCAAGCGGGACGGGACCGTGTCCCCGTGCGCCACCGCTGCGGGAACGCACACAGACCAACACCCYGCTCTGGGGCACGGCCGCGGCTCCGGTGACCGGGGAGCCTCCCGTCCCGCCGCCACCGCCGGGGCCCAGGCCGCTGCCGCAGACCTCGCGGCTCCTCTCGGCCTCCCAAGGGCTCCGGCCACGGCCCYGGCTCCCAGGGCCGGCGCCAGGCCCCGGCACGAAGGCAGCGCAGCCGCCTCCTCCTCCTCCTCCCTTCCTGGAGGAACGGGGCACGTTTCCCTCGTCCCGCTCCTCCGCACCGGCCGGGCTGGACAGGCGGGCTGGATGGGCGCCGGGGTGGGGGGTTCACTCGCGCCCAGCCCCGCAGCCTCGCGCCCGGGGGGGCGCCCGGCGCCGCCTCGCGCGGCTCTCGCTCCACCGGCCCCTCCCGGCCCCGCAGGACCAACGCTCCGCGCGCGACCGGCCCTCGGGGCCGCCGGACCCSGCGCCCGCCGCCCTCACACACTCACCCTCTGCTCGGCTTCACGCACCGCGCACTGTCGCGCCGGCCTATTGGCTGGTGGGAAGAGGGTCTCCTCTCTCAGCCAATCGCCGCTGCTCTTATTCGGCTCGGCCTGCCCCCTCGGGCAGGAAGCGTGGGGGGCGTAAAGGCACCTCGCGCTGTGCACGTGGCGGGACGGCCGACCGGCCGGCGCCCGGGGACGAGGCTCTGGACCGCAGCGGACGCGGATTCCTGCCCCCGGAGAGCTGCCCTGGCTGGACACCCCCAACTCTGCACCGGCCACGGAGCCCCGCCCATCGCACTCCCAAAGGCTCATGGGAGTCGTAGTCCCAGCGCCGTCACAGCCCGACCCCGTCCAACCTACCAGGACTACACATCCCGACATGCCCCGCGCCCCGCCACCCAATCGCGGCGCGCTTTGTTGTGGGGGTGCGGCAGCCGCCGAGGCCCCGTTCAAGATGGCGGACGACAGTGAGACAGCAATGAGGCGGCCGCCGCCGAGGCCTCAGCGGCCGTCGGCGGAGGAGAACGACCACGAGCACTGCAGCGACTGCGAGAACGAGGCAGAGCACGGCTCCAACCGCGGGTGAGCGGAGCGCCGGGGCCGCCCGCCGCCGCGCCTGCCAGGCCCATTGAGCAGGGCAGCGGCCGGGAAGTGAGCAGAGCCCCGCCCCGCGCGCGTCCTGATTGGCCGCCCCGTGGCATTCCGCGCCGCGGTTGGCCGAGATGCCTGTCAGTCTCGCGGGGGCGGGGCCCCGGCGCTCTCCTTCACTCCTTTTGCGGGAGCGTGTCGCGAAGCTAAGCAAGGTCGGGCCTGTCCGCGGCGCGGATGGGAGACGGCCCGCGACGCCCCCCGGAGCCCTCCCGCGGCCCCCGGCGGCCGCAGTGGCGGCGCGGCGGGTGTCCCGGCGTGGCGGGAGCTGGGGCTGCGGCCCCGCACGCTCCGCTCGCCGGGGCAGGTCCGCAGCACGGAGCAGGGAGCGGTGCGGACGGGCCGGGAAGGCGCTGCCAGCGCCGGCCACCGTCACCACCGCCGAGTCACGAAGCCGCTCCAAAACTGGGGCTGGCGGCTGCGTCCCGCTGCACCGGCCTCGTGCGGGATGCGGTGCCGCTTCCGGGGATCCCCGCCGCTCCTGGGGATCCCTGCCCCTGGTCGTGGCTCTTCCCGCCGTTCCCCCGCTCCTTCCCAGCTGCGGCCTCTCCCCGTGGGCGAGCTCGCCTGGCCGGCCCCGGCCTCAATAACAGCACGCAGGAAACACGACAGACCCGGCTTTTCTGTTTTTATGACAGCACAGACGYGCGTTTCTGTTTCATTGGCCTCCCGGGCGCAGCCCCGTGTCTCGGCGTAATAGGGTTAGCTGCGCTGGGGAGATTTTTCTTTTCCTTGCCCTCTGACGTGATTAGGTTTGYGGAAAGCGGATCCGAGCGGAGAGGCGCTTAATCACGGCGCCCGTGGCGGCTCCGGGCTGCCCGTTCCCGGTGCTGTGCTTGCCAGAGGTGCAGCCCGAGCACGCTGGCTGCCTGAGCACCTTGGGTAAGCGCGGTCCCCGGGGCCAAGAGCAATTAAAATGGGTCGGAACCCAGTTGGAAGCCGTTTCTCAGCCTCTGCTCGGCCCAAGGATCCCCCAGCCGAGAGGGCCGCCTGGGAAGCGCCTGCTAAGGGATCGATTGCATCGCTCCTGCTTCATGTGTGTTGGGGAACGGGGTGGATCCCCAGCGGCCGCAGCGGTAGCGGCCACGAGTCCCGACTGCGAGATCCCTGTCCCACCGAGCCTGCTAATCGGAGAGCCCTGCAGGAGGAAGGACCAGGCAGCAAGAAAAGTTGAGGGTTTTGCTCTTGGTGCATTATCCCTTCTGCTGATTTTCATCTCATCCTTTTCCTTATGATATTATTACTGCTGCACCGAGATATAAAAACGTTTCTGCCCGCCCCGAGCGACCAGAGTGGCAGCAGGGCTGCGCTACGAGTCCTCCCAGGATGGAGAAAAATAAATAAATAAGAATATTAGGCAGCGCAAGCAGCACTTCCTCTCCTTTTAAGGACAGGAAAGAGGAATTGAGCTTCCCCCGCCGCGGCGCGACGCGCGGGGCACTGCTGCTGGTCGGGTGCCCGCGGCGGACTGCAGCGTGGCGGGTGTCCCTGCTTGTCGTGAGCGGGGTGGTGGCATTTGCTCCAGAGAGGAAAGCGCCGCTCCGTTTCCCGGCTCCGGGAACGCGGCCGCAACGTGTTCAAGTGTTTCCTTGGCCTCACGCGCTCCCGCTTGGCGCAGGCGTTTCGCCTGTTGCTCTTCCAGTTGTCCCTGGAAGAAACGTTTAGGTAGAGGATAAATTAAAGACCTGGTGGTTAATGGAGAGGAAGGGGTCCTGGTGAGAGGAAGGGCCCGAGRGCGCCGAACCCGCGGGGTTTGGGTTTGGAGCTGGGTTTGGGCGGCCCGTGGAGCGCTGGGCCCTGCTCCGCGCCGCGAGATCCGCCGTCCGCGGAGCCTCCGCTTCCGCCGACTCCCCCGCAGCCTAACGAGATTAACGACACAAGCCTTGCTCCCAATTAGCCGTGGGTTCCTACCCACGCACGGTCCTCCAGCCTCTCCTCGCGGGGTGGGTATTTCCCACCTCCTGTTTGGCAGCTTCCTGATCTGTGTCCAAAACGATGCTTCCGGAGCGGGTTTTGGGGACGGAGCCAGGCGAGTCCGGTACCTTTTGCTTCTCTTTCACTCTTGGACCGTTTCGCACCCAKGTCGCCTGCAAGCGACGTTTCACTTTGACCAAAGGCACCTTTCCTGCTTCGAGCGCTGTCCCAAGGGTTGGGGCGAGCGTGGATCCGCCCGCGTGGATCCGTCCTCGCGGATCCGTCTTGCCCGCTGTGCAGAGGGGATCGCAGCGGGAACGTGGCCGCGTGCGGGAGGCTGCCGTGCTGCTTCGTCCCGCGGTGGCCGTGCTCACTGCAGGACGCGCGGTCAGAGAAGCGTCTCCTGTCCCAARTACGGGATTTTCTGTATAATTCTGTCTTCCTGAGAGCCGGCACTCGATGCCTTCAAAGCTCTGACAGGGGCTTCGCCCCAGCAGCCCTGGCCGGGATACGTCGAGGTGCTGAACGTGTGTCCAGCATCTCCGTGTCCAGCTCTCGCCGTCCCGTCACCACAAAAGCAGCTCCGGCCGCGCTCCCCCTGTCTCCTGCCTCGCCGCTCTCAGGTGCGGATCAACCTCGTTCCCTTCCCGGCTCTCTGCTTTTCCTGCCGTAAGCTGCTTTCTGCGGCTCCGACGCCGCTTCCAACGGGCCTCTCCTCTCCCTCCCTGCCGCTCAGCGGCGTCTGGTGCTTGGTAAAGTCATGATGCAGGCGCGGAAGCTGCGCCCAGGAGCTGGCTTTGGGATGGGAGCTGGGATCTGGGCAGAGAAGCGGCAGACCGGGGCGTCTCCTTCGGGAGAAGCCGGTGGCAGGAGCAGTTTCCACTCCTGGGACGTACGGCGGGGACGGCAGTGGTCGCACCCATGGGAGACGTGGGGAGCGGTGGGATGCGCTCCCGGCTCCCGGGAGGTGCCAGGATTGCTGGGACAACCCGAAGGCCAGAATCTTTGGGCCAGCTCCATCTGCGGTGGCTGCATGAGGACGGATTTCAAGGCGCCCGACGCTGCGTGTGCCGTGCGCCGGGTCCCCCGTAGGGCAGCAATCCGCGTGTCCGTGCGCCGCTCCGGCYGCGGCTCCGCGGGCGCTTCCCGGGCGGCTCTGCGGGCAGCCGGGACCTGGCCCTCGCCCGTGGAGGGAGATGTGGCCTCCGAGCTGCGTCCTGGCGCGTCTTGGGGAATGTCTGGAAGTGCAGCTAGGACAGGGGCTCTCAGAGAGCCCCATCCCCTTCGCCCCCTGCTCTCCCAGGGACTTCAGCTGCTGCTGGGCCTCTTCATTTTCCAGGTTTGGGGTAACACGATGGGTGTTTTTCCCYGTGCAGAGTGGAAGCTGTTTGTGCTCCGCCCGCTCCAAGAGTGAGTCCTGGCAAGGGCCGGGTGTGGAAGGGTCCCGGGACGGTGCGCGTGGCTGCAGGCGTCGYGGTCCCGTCTGGGTCTCCCAGCAGGGAGCTTTTATGTTCTTCAGGGAGCTTCAGGGACTCTAAGTGTCCTCCCAAAAAAGCCTCTAATGGTGTTTCCTTTGTTTCCTTAGTGGCTTGAGTCCAGCAAATGACAGCGGAGCCAAAAAGAAGAAAAAGAAACCGAAACGGAAGAAAGAGAAAGGAGGAGACCAAGCTGACCAGGCCCAGGACCAGCCAGTGAAGGTACCGACCCCTTGCCCGAGGCTCGAAGTCGCTGCCCCGGGAGCAGCAAATCCGTCCTCCCGCTCTGCGGCGTGGCCAGGAAAGGGTCTCCCCGAGCTACCTGCTCTTGTTTTGAAGCGCTTGGCTGCTCCAAAGTCTGAGATTTAGAGTAATTTCCTGGCCTGGCTCCGTGCGTGGGAATTCCCAGGGCCGCGGAAGGTGCCGGCTGGCGCCGCCGAGTTGTTCCTCCCAGAAATCGGCTGCCTCCTTGAGCCGAGACAGCCGAGATGCGTGCGGCCGAGCCGCCTGCTCCCTGCCGGGAGCCCCACGGCTGCTCCCTGCTCCTCCTTGGACAGCATCCAGTGTTGGTGRTTTGGGCTCCATTAACATAAGAACAAGAGGAGAGTCAGAGAAGGGTCCGTCCTGCCCCTTTCTGCCTCGGAGGAGCAGCCCGTRCCCAGGGATGAGCGTGGGACATGGGGGTCCGTCCCTGTCCCGCCGGCAGCTCCCCACTCGGCTCTGCCAGCCGCTCCGGCCGCTTCCCGAGCCCGCGCCGCTCGCGAACCCGTCCGCACATCCTGCCCGGCGCTCGGCTCTCGTTGCGGGATGCTGGACGTCGTTCCGTGGGCTCTGGTGCTTGTCCTAGCCCTGCTTTGAAGCCGCCTTCGTGCGTCCGCGCAGCGCGGTGAGCGGTGCTCCCTGCGCCRCTCGCGTGCCGCGGCGCGCGCCTCGCGCCCTGCTGCCCACGCAGCCCYGTCCTCCCTCGCAGCMGCGGCAGCCTCGCAGCACGGGCTCTTCGTTGGCCCAGCCTGTTTGCTGTCCAAATCCYGGGTCCTGTGTAAATGATTTCTGATGCCGAGTCCTGCTGGTGGCGCGGAGTGCTGGACTGGTTGGGTTGGTGCTCGCAGGGTGCGGGTTATCTCAGGGCCTGCTGTGGGTGAGGCCAGGAGCTTTTTCTGCTCTCACCATCTTCCTTCGACTGAAGCTTTAGGCATCTTATGGTGCTGGATCTTCCAGCCCCTTTGACCCAGATGTGCCTAAAAGTCAGGTCTAAGCCTGTAGCAGGTGGCTAGAGAAAGGGTTTATCCACCTCGCCGCGGGTTATGAGGGGATCCGGGCTGGACAGGGAGCCTCTTCCCTGCTTTMCCCTCCCTGGCAGCCCTCCAAGGCAGGCTGAGCTCCCAGTTGCCCTTATGGGAAGCTGCAGTAGAGCTCAGGTCACTCACTTTTACCTCCCCTTCTCTGCACTCAGGTGAACTCTCTACCAGCTGAGAGGATCCAGGAGATTCAAAAAGCCATCGAGCTCTTCTCTGTAGGACAGGGACCTGCCAAAACCATGGAGGAAGCCAGCAAGCGGAGCTACCAGTTCTGGGACACGCAGCCGGTGCCCAAGCTCGGTACGTACACACCGTGGCCRTGTTGAGACCCTCAGCTTCTCTGAAGAAGCCCTCACTGGAGCTCTGAGGGTTTCTGGCCAACAAGCAAGCCCTGCTGTGACACCTGCACTGCGGAGCATCTATGACACCCTCCAGCCAGTGCCCATCCGTGCTGCAGGAGGGCTGGGGACATCCAGGAGGACACACGGCCACCTCGGGCATCAGCTTTGATGGCTCTTTGATCCCTTAATCTCAGTCTTTTGCCCTGACACTGGACTTTCCCAGCCCTTTGCGGCTACGTTTCACATGCTTCCCCTCTCCGGCGGCGGCTCCGTTCCCCTCTCTGGTGGCTGCTCTAGTCCTTCCTGCAGGTTACGCTCAATTCTGTGACCCGTGTCCAGGTGTTTCGCTGTTGGTGGWGGGTGTTGGTCGCCTCGGCAGCTGTGCACATCTGCAGGGCAGCTGCTGGGTCTGCTCTGTGTTGCTGGTGGGAGCGACTCGCTGCGCGTTCCCAGGGATGCCTTTGCTTTGTCTCTCCGCCCTGGTGTATCCTAGCAAACTCCGTGCAGACTTTGGAAGAGCTGGAGAATGAGTCCAAGCGCATGGTTTTTAGATCTCTCTTTGCACTTGTRCTGGGAAAAATCATTGTGAGGCACAGAGTTATGGGGGGGCTGCAAAGTCTGACCTTGTGTTTGCACTTGTCGCCAGAAGATCTTGTTGTTAGATACATCCTATCTGCTTCAGAAAACGCTGGAGCGGGGAAGATGGGGCAGAAGAGGCACTAAATGGCCCAGTTCTTCATACACCAAGTTGCTGACCACGCTCTGGTTCCAGCTGCTCACTAGATGCCACCATCTCCCTTGGGGCTTGGTCACAAGAGCACGCGCTGTTACCCACGGGAGGCCATCTAGGGCCTGGTCACCAAGGGGTCTTGGGGGACAGGGTCAGGCTTGTTCTGCACCCGCCCAACGCAGAGGACGCTGCTGGGGACGAGTGTGGCTGGAACCTGTCCTAGTTCGGATGCGATGGGAGCAGTTGGTTTGGGCTTACTCCTCCCCATTGCCTGGAAACCTCTTTTGAGCTCCTTTTTAAGGGCATTCCTAAGCACTGCAGCGAGCTTCTCTTGGCAGCGCTCGAGTGGTGCTGCTGTTTGCAGAGCTGTGCTGACAGCCCTGAGAAAGCCGGTGCTTTAACCGACACCTCTTGGCTGAGTCGAGTGCTTCGGGGGTCAGCGTTTTTCAACAAAAGTCGTCTCGTTCCCCGCAGCTCTTGGTGAAATGCGCTGGGAGGGAAATCCTGACGCCTGCCAGGTGGCCGGGGCCGGAGCTGGCAGGGAGAGAGGGGCCGGCGGGTGCCTGGGGGTGGTGGCGCCGGTCACGGACAGCGCTGGCCGCTGCTGCCCGGTGGCGACCGGGCAGCTCGTGCTCTCATAGCTGCTTCGTCCGGCTCGGATCTGGCATCCCGATGCCCCACGGAAGGTGGGACCAGCAGGGGTGGGGACGAGGGGGCCCAAGGCTTGTGCGCGTGGAGGATGTAGCTCTGGTTAATTCAGGCTGCTCCTCTCTGCTTCTCAGTTTCTGCCACGAGCCTTGAAAGAGCAGATCCGACTCTGCGCCCCATTCTGAGGTGTTGGACACGGTTCCTGACTGCTCAGGCTGTGGGTCTGGGGTGAGAAGGGCTGTCAAGTGAAGCCACCCGTGGCGTCGTGCAGACCTGGCCTCCAACCGCAGAGAGCATCTTCAGGGCTCCCTGCTCCCTTTCACCGTCCCCGGCAGCATTCAAGAAATGTCTAGATGAGGCACTTAGGGGCGTGGGTTAGCAGGATGGTGCTGAAGGGCTTGCGRTTGGGCTCRGTGATCTTGGAGGTCTTTTCCAACCATAATGATTCTATGAGTCTCTGATTCTCTCTTGCAGGAGAAGTGGTGAACACCCACGGTCCCGTTGAACCGGACAAAGACAACATCCGTCAGGAGCCGTACACCCTGCCCCAGGGCTTCACCTGGGATGCCCTGGACCTTGGCGACAGAGGCGTGGTGAGTCCGGGCACTTGGGCACGCGCTGGTGGGGAGGGCATCTCTATTGCTCGGTTGGCAGTGCAGTGCTTGGACTGCCAGAGATGTCTTTGGTGGCTGGAATGTGTCCTCCACCCTTATGAGCAACACTCCAGCTCAGTGATCTCACCACCTCCTTAGTTAGGTGGGTCTCATTTCCCCTAAAACAGGCACTTACCTCCCACGTGTCCCATGTTGGCCAGGTTTGATGGGTTTCTTCACGGAAGATGGCCAGATGGGAATGTTTTTCCGTGTTTTCCAAGTGTCTTTGCATGGAAAAACTCCATGCTTACACTCCAGGTCGTGACCCATCTTCCTGAGAGATGACCTGGGGGTGGCAGGAGTGTCTGTGTGTCCGGTTGCTTACCGTGCTCTGCAGGGCACCTTGCAGGAGCCCAGAGCCAGCAGCAAGGAGGAGAGAGATGTGCCAGTTACAAGGACACGGCGACCCACGGTTCCCGTTGCTGCAGCCTCATGAAAGCGAGTTCTGGGTGGAGTTTCAGAGCAGCCTTGGGGTGTGACAGGCGAATAACTCTCTTGGCCTGCTTGGTCTCTCCTGCTGCAGCTGAAAGAGCTCTACACGCTTCTGAACGAGAACTACGTGGAAGACGATGACAACATGTTCCGGTTCGATTACTCGCCCGAGTTCCTGCTGTGGTGAGTGGCACCGTGACCACGCACCACAGAGCACAGTGTGTGGATGGCACTCAAGCTGCCTCTTGTCACCTTTTTTTTTCCAAAATCTCGCTTCATTATCTGTCACCCTCTGCATGTCTCTGGGAACTGGGTGTCCCAGGTGCTCTGCMAGAGACCTGTCTCTCGTGCAGTACTGTCTGCCTCGGGCTTCTTTGAGATACTGGAACCTAAGACTGCATTTTTTCCTCTTTGCTTTGATCCCTTGAGTGTTTTCAAAAACTCTGGTAGCTGAGGAGTTTCCCGCTGTTCCAGAGTTAAAGGAGGAAGGTGACTGCCAAGTATTGTTGCCAGCAATAACACTTGAAGATCTGTTGCAGCTGAGCTGCCRTTTCTTCAGGGCGTTCACCAATCAAGAACACAGATTTCCTCCTGGTTTGCAAGCGAGAGCTGGCCTTGGCCACAGAGCACAGGAATTCCCTTGGACCCGAACAGTCCTGCCCTGTAATTTCAGAGTTACCCTCGTTCTCCTGCCACGGGTGTCTTGAGGGGCCTGAAATGTGACCCTGAGTGTGCCAGGAGCTGGTGGGGAGCCTGGAGGCAGAAGTAGGTGCATGGGGCTCTTCAGATGGATGTTGACTAAGGAGACGTGTCTGTTCTGCAGGGCGCTGCGTCCTCCAGGCTGGCTGCCCCAGTGGCACTGCGGTGTCAGAGTTGTCTCCAGCAAGAAGCTGGTTGGATTCATCAGTGCGATTCCAGCCACTATCCACATCTATGACACGTGAGTGCTGCTCCCTTTCTTTTCTTCTCCTGCATCTTGGTGGTGGGTGGTGGTTCCCAGCAGTGCTCAGGAAGGGTCTGACCRTGTTGCCCTCGCTGACTGACTGCCATCGTGGGGATGTTTTGCTGCTGGGAGGAGAGGGTGGAGGATATTTAAGGTGTCTGGTGACGTTCTGTGCAAGAACATCTTGCAGGTAATTGAGGAGGCCCTTTTCCTCAGTGAGTGGGGTCAGCTTAGAGCTCTGGCTCTAATCCTCCAGGGCTGGATGCCAGCAGAGACTATATTCCCTTGGGAAACTATGGGATAACAGCTCAAGGAGAGTCCTCCAGAGCATCAGTGTGTCAGACCTCTGGACCTCAGCCCTTCGCCTTCCTGGGAATTTGACCTCTCTGCCTCTTGCGGGGGCTGGAAGTAAATTGTCCAGGGCATCAGTCTGATCTCCGTGGTCAGGCCAATTGGGTCTCATCCTGCGCATCGTTTCTTTCCTAAGAGAGAAGAAGATGGTGGAGATAAATTTCCTGTGTGTCCACAAAAAGTTGCGCTCCAAACGAGTGGCTCCAGTTCTGATCCGAGAGATCACGCGGCGGGTTCATCTGGAGGGAATATTTCAGGCTGTTTACACTGCCGGAGTGGTGCTGCCAAAGCCTGTGGGGACTTGCAGGTGAGTGACTCCAGTGCTCTGAAGCACTTCGGACTGGGGGAGGTCTCTGCAGACCTTCCTGTACCAGGATCTGCTGCGTTACAAAGTGTTTGGATGGCTGTGTTTATCGGTGTGGCATTCCCTGGGGGCAAGACAGGGCAATCCCAGCTTAGATTTCTCCTCCCCACGCTGTCCTTCAGGGATTAAGTCCTGCAGCTTTGTTTAAGCTGCTCATTTATCACAAGCCAGGAGACTGCAGCGCATGCACCTCAGGCTGCCCTTGTTTTTATGCTGGTGGGAGCTCGTGGCTTCAGAGAGCCTCTGCTCTGGCTGGCACGCTGTTCTCGCTTGCCCTCTCATGGCCACGACGAGAACCTCCTGCTCTCGCAGCCTTCCTGCTCTCACAGGACGAGTCTCCCACAGCCAATGTGTTTCTGCAGGTACTGGCACCGGTCCCTGAATCCTCGGAAACTCATCGAAGTCAAATTTTCCCACCTGAGCAGGAACATGACTATGCAACGCACCATGAAGCTTTATCGGCTGCCAGAGGTGGGTGCCAACCTGACCTGGGAGCAACAGAGGCAAAGCTCAGGAATTGCTCCTAGCCAGGGAGCTCCTAGGGGCTCGGCATCGGGCACACGAGCATCTCGGCTGGGTCCGTCTTTTGCCTGGAGACCGGGGCTTTGTGTTTCATATAATAAATGGCCCTGTCAAGCCATTGTGCTTTATTTAATTCTTATTTATTTTGCCTGGATACCTGCACTTTAAAGGCATATTTTTGCAGCTAGAGAGCCCCTATGATCTTTTGTTTCACGGTGACTCATATCCTGTTCTCCTGGTAAAACGAGAATACAGATGTGACAGCCTTCATCTGTCCAAACACAACCTCGGAGCGAYCTGCAATTGGGTTAGTCCCTCGTTCAAACGGATGGGTTCTGTCACGGCACTTGTCCTGCTGGGGGAAGTTCCCCAGCTGACTAGAGGAGAAAAGAAAAACAGAGCATAAAAATTGCCMCTGCCTTCCCTGACCTTGTCTGCCTCCTTTTGGTCAGAGCTGGTTGTTTTGGTCAGTGGTGCTTTAGAGCCGGGCATCGCGCAGCCCAGTGTCTTTCATCTCCCACATCAGCAGTGGCAGCAGTCACTGATYGTAGCCGTTAACTTTTTTATGCAGAAACCCAGCCCCCAAAAAACCATTGTGTGACTCGAGTTGGGCTGCACTGAGCGTTCCTAACCCGAGGCTAGAAATTGGATCATCCTGGAAATAGACACTCGGACAGGAGCTGGCTGTTGCTCTTGCCACCTCTTTCCCTGACATATCCTGCTGTGCCGGGGGCACCTCTGCCAGCCTGGTCCCTCTGTGCTTGGGAGCAGAGACCTGGAAGGAAGCAGAGACCTGATGTTGCTAATGACTGAGAGGCCTCTCCCAGTGTGACTTGACCCAGCACGGGAGGCTGTGACACCCTGGGCTTTCCTGCAGCCTCTGCATCGGTGTCACAGCCGATCATGTCCTTTCAGACAAGCAGGGCTGGGACGAACGTGCTTGGCAAGGGCTGGGAGATTGGAAATGGTTTGATCTAAGCAGAAAACATCCCCACGCTGCGTGGCGGGGCTGCTCAGGAGGAAGGTTAGTCTTTGGGAGGGGTCAAAGCACCCTTGCAAACCACGCTCACAGCTTGCTCTCGTTTTCTGCAGACTCCCAAGACTCCCGGCTTGCGGCCCATGGAGCATAAAGACATTTCTGCAGTGCATAAGCTCTTGACCGAATACCTGAAGCAGTTCCACCTGACGCCCGTCATGAGCCGAGAGGAGGTGGAGCACTGGTTCTTACCTCAGGAGAACATCATTGACACCTTTGTGGTAGAGGTGAGAGGGCAGGGGGTGTTCTCCTGGGCTTCTCTCACCACTGGAGGAGTGTGCAGCGAGCTGGTCCGTTCTCTGCAGGAGAGATCAGAGAGGTTGCTGCCCTGGGCAGTGGGAGCTGGGATCCTCTCCCAGGTTCTGGAGGTTTGAGCTGCTGGAGGATGGTGCCTCCATCCTGGGCTGCCTCGAGTCTGTCCGCTGGATGCCCTGGTGGCGCAGGCGTGTGCCCGCTGAGACTGGCAAAGCCCCTCTGAAGTTCAAAGCAGGCATCGCCTGGTTGTGCCGTGCTGCTGTGTCACAGCTGTGTCACTCTTGGCTTTCAGAGCGCCCCTGGGGAGGTGACAGACTTCCTGAGCTTCTACACACTGCCCTCCACCATCATGAACCACGCGACCCACAAGAGTCTCAAAGCTGCTTATTCCTTCTACAACGTTCACACCAAGACGCCTCTCCTCGACCTCATGGGCGATGCTCTCATACTCGCCAAGTCGGTGAGTGCCGGCAGGACCGGGCGGGTTGGGAGCAGCACCGCTGGGCAGCTCATCACAGGCATTTCCAGCCTCTTGGCTGCCCTTGAACTTGTGGGGAGGGCCAGTGAGGGGCTCTGTACCTTGGACTTGCTCAGTGCTGTACGAATCGGTCTGCAGCCCAAGCAGGGAAAGGAGCAGTCGTAGGGGCAGGCAGTGCCTGYAGAGGAGAGCAGCCCATGGCTGGAGGAGCTGATCGCTTCTTTCTTGCCTGTGCAGAAAGGATTTGACGTCTTCAATGCACTGGATCTCATGGAAAACAAAACCTTCCTGGAGAAGCTGAAGTTTGGGATTGGGGACGGGAACCTGCAGTATTACCTGTACAATTGGAAGTGTCCCAGCATGGCACCAGAGAAGGTCAGTCCACTGCTGCTCCTCCAGCGAGCAGAGGTCTTGTCTCGCTGAGGTTGTGGGGCGGACAGGCCGCCCATGTCTGGCACTGTCTTTGCAGCTCAGCTTGGGGAGAAGCTCTCACCAGTTGGTCTCCTCAGACTAATTTTGCGCTTGGTCCTGTGTGGGATCGTGTATCAGTCTGCTTTCAGTGTCTTCTTGTGTCCTGGTGAGACAAGAYAGACAGGGGCTCCTCTGGAGAGCACGGCTGTGCTTTGAGCTCCGTTGGGTCGCTGCTGAGCAGGAACCCATGGTGTTTGTGCAGGGGCTGAGCCACAGGATCCCTGGGGTGCCACACGGTCCCCAAGGACTCGCTCCCCGTGTAGCTGCTCTGAGCACTTGCAGTTGCTTCGAGCCATCCTCATAGAGCCCCGGGAGCTGCCCTGCTAGCTGGGCTGTTGTTAGCAGGATCCCATTGCCCTTTGGCTACTGTGGGTCCATTGTGGAGGTGCTGCAGCTGARCATCCATCCAGTTCCCATTGTCCATGGACACGGCATGGACAGTGCTTGAGAAGCACCAGCCTCCCCTGTGCACCCTGTGGTGCATCTGCAGTATGTCCAGGCCAGGTCAAAACAGCTCATTAATGTAACTGCACTTTGATTCCTCCCACKGAGCTTGTGAAGCCAGGTAGGTGTCTGCTCTCCGGGGAGCGAGAGGCTCCTGCAGGCAGGCAGGCAGCTGGAGGTGTGAGGTCCAACAGGCTGATTAACGTGGGTAATTGCTCATCTCAGTGGCCTTCTCCAGGCAACACTGGGGTTGCCGTGCCCGCAGCACCTGCAGGGCACCGTGGCACAAATCAACACTTTTTAAACCAGTTCTGCTCCACCACTGATGCTTTAAAAACAATATCCCGAGGGGGTTGCTGGGAGGTTTATCCAACTCCTTCCTYGCTGGAGGGGCTGATGGATTCTCATGCCTGGTGCGGGGAGCTGCTCCCCTGCTGTGCCCTGCAGAGGGTCTGAGCCATCTCCGTAGTCGGGACGGATCCCTGGGAGCTGCCACCAGCCCCACGCGCGGAGGCCAAAGGGTACCCAGAAGCATCCCAAGCAGGACAAGGCGCTGCTGCCAGGGAGCAGCTTCTGTCTGACCTATTGCTAGGAGCACAGAGATAGTCCCGACTAGAAAACCACAGCCCCGAAGCGGAGRTGCTGCTCCATGCCGTCCCGCCTTGCAGAGCGCCCGAGCCGGTCAGGCAGGYGAGAGATGCAGAGCAGCTGGGGAGCCGCTGAGCTCGGCAGCTCCGCGTGTCCCGTCCGGCAGGGCCCGGGTGCCTGTTCGGCTGCACAGCTTGCCCGTCTAGCCAGGAAGGGCTGCGCTGGGCGCTCCGGACGCCTGGCCTCAAAGGTCCCRGAGCGGGTGGGTGAGAGCGCGCGGACAGACTCCCCGAGCCCCTCAGCCGCTGCAGGGAGCCRCGTGCGTCCCGCGCTGCGCGGGTGGAGGTCGCTTTTGCTCGGGCGCTGCTTCACCTGCCGTCTCCGCTGGCTCTCCCAGGTTGGACTGGTGTTGCAGTAAGCGAGCCCTGCGAGGAGAGCCCTGCGAGGAGGAGCTGCGCCCGCGAGACGCTGCCCTCGCCGTTTGCACCCGAGCTGGACCCGTGCGTGGAGCAGCGGGACTGGAGCAGCTATGCAGACAGCGACCGATTTTTAACGCTTGTATCACACGCAACCGGCCACAGCTCCCCGGGTGGCCTTGGTGGCCTCCTTTGTTTTGATTTAATTGCATCCTCGTAAAGACATGATCAAGGGAATGTAACTGCAAAAACTAGCTCATGATTGGCATATAATGGAGTTAACGGGTGAATAATAAAAGTATATATTATATATATTTTAAATCTTTCCTGTTGCAAACTGACACTAATGCACTCATCTGCTGAAGGCCACCTCCTGGTCCCTGGACCGTGACTCTCCTCACCACGAAGCTGGGTTGGCAGAGGTGGTTACTTAGTGTGCCAGGTTTTGTTTTTGTCTGCGCAGAAAAGGGCAAATCCTGCCCCAGGAGAGGAGCTCGGAGGTTCGGCGCCCGACGGCTCGGCAGAGACTCGGGAGAGGCCGGTGGGCGCCCGCAGGGCCCGGCGCCCCAGGCTTCTTGGAGGAGACGCTGCCCGCGCCCTGTCCCTGCACTCGGCTGCCTCCGTCTGCTGCCTGCTCCGCTCGACTCGGTCCTTCCCACCCCGGCTCTGCTGCAGGTGCCTTGACAGGGAGGATGGCGCCGACCCTCCCTGTGGGCTCGGGAGCAACTCGCTTTTTATCACGAAGGGCTATTTGTGCAGGCGCTGCCTTGTCCCACCTCCTCCCCAGCCTCGGAGCCTCCAGGCATCACTGCAGCAGCACGAGCCCCAGCGGAGACGTGGCCACTCCTGACACCCCAGGGGACTCAGCTTCTCGCCACCCTYGGATGCACCCAGCTCAGCACTACCCCTGGAGTTGTCTCCTTCCCTGCTCCCCGGGTCTGCAGGATGGGTGCTCTGGGTCTGCAGGATGGGTGCCCTGGGGATGCTCCATCACCGCACGTCGGAGCGCTCTGTGCGTCTGCTTTTGTCTCTACACTGGTTACCTGAACCATCAGAAAGATGAACACGAGTGTTTCCCTGCAAAGGGATGGGGCTGAAGCCTGTTGAGCCTCTCCGGCGCCGATGCCGGCAGCCTCACGCGGTTTGTGCTACGCAGCCTGCAAGGTACGAGCCCCGTAAAGATGAACTTGTGCAAGGAAGTCGGCTCGTCCTTGACGGAGACGCTGGGAAGAGCACAATTCCTGAGAGCAAATCCCAGAGAACAGCAGCCCTGCGCCAAAATCAGGAGGTGGCTCCTCCAGGAAACACGTCGTCCTTCGGGATGTTCGCTCCTAGGTCCATCGCGGGGTCTTCTCTAACCATCTCTTGTAGCTGTCCCCGTGTTGCTGGTGGCTGGCGGAGGCTGGTACCCCTGGTACCCCCGCGTGTCCAGCGCAGCCCTCCTGCCCTGGGCTGGGAGCTGCTTCTGCCAAGGCCGTTTCTGTTGCTCTGAGCTGTCTTCAACTTCCCAGCCAAAGGTTTCCAAAGGCGCCCATGAAGGGCTAAAGGCGCTGTCTGCCCTTGTCCTTGTGCACAGCTTGAGTGCTCGGGGCCAAGGCCACCTCACTGCTCCCTTTCCAAGACTTTGAGCCCCCCYGGGCTCCGTGTCCCCAGGAACAAGCACCGCGTGGCTCCGAGAGCCTCKTCCTCCGCCCCCAGCTCCTTGGGCCAGGGCCTGGACCTCGGTGAGCAGGAGCTGCCCCATCTGTCCCCGCAGCTCCCGTGTCCYCTTGCCCAGGCTGGGGTCCCGTGTCGCCTATGCAAGAATTGACATCCCTGTCCTGCCCCTGCGCCAAGGAGTGGGGTGCAGAGGGTCCCGAGGGGTGCAGAGGGTGCCAAGGGAAGGACCAGGAGGCCAGGGAGAGGCCCACAACCCTCCCTCCCGCCCCAAGTCCCACGTCTCCTTCCCCCTGCTCAAGGAATGGCGCTTTTCRCGCTCTGGTGCTGCCTTGAACACCCCAGCCCAGTGCTGTCCCCCATCCCCGCATCTTCAGGGCAGCTTGGGTGGCAGAGCCACAATGACGTCAGGCTCTTAAATAAACCTTTATTCAACTCGCTTGACAACCTTGTATAAATACTTGCCCGTTGCTGGTTCTCTAGCAGGGGTTGCAAAGGCAGCGGGTGCCTTGGGGCCACCAGGCCGAGGCTCGTGGCTCTGGTGGCTCCTGGCCCTGAGGGTCCGCACAGCAGCTGTGACCACGAGTGGCCCCGGGGTTGCTGTCGCCCACTTGTGCTGCGTCCCCGCGGCAGAGAGAGGCGGAGCGGGGTGCACGGAGCAACGTGCGCCCGGCGAGCCCAGCCGGGCGCCCCGGTGCCGCTGACCGCGGGGCTCACAGGCGCCGGCACGTAACGTGCACGAAGAGCGTGGCGGGCGCCAGGGAAGCGCCGTCCTTGGAGAGCAGGTGGATGTGGCGGTAGCCTGCGGGCAGCGAGGGGCTGAGTGCAGCCCGCGGCCGGGGCCCGCGCGGCCGCCCCGCGCCCACCTTGGCGCATGCTGCCCAGCGGCAGCGTGAACTGGCCCACGAAGTCGTTGCAGGAGGTGCTGTCGTAGTCGAGCACCACGAAGCGCACGAGGGCCAGCTCGGGCGCCCGCAGCTGGAACGCCAGCGTCTCCTCCCAGCGGGGGTTGAAGCCTGCGCCCGCGCGTCAGGGGGGTGCCCGGGCACGGGGACCGGGATCGTCCCCCCTTGGGGCTGCTGGGCTAGGCAAGTGGGTCACACGGGGCCGGACTGGGCTGCACTGGGCGAGTGGGGCTCAAATCGGGGTGGGGGATAGGCTGGGGGCAGGGGTCCCACTGGGACGTGCTGGGGGGACAGGGATCGTACAGGGGTTGGGGTGGACTGTACTGGGGAGGAGTGGGGATCAGACTGAGCTGGACTGGGGTGTCTGGGAGAAAAAGGGGCTACCCTGGGGTAGAGAGAGGGGGGCAGGGGTCGTACTGGGCTGTACTAGGGGTTGGATGCACTGGAGCCAAGCTGGGCTGTACAGGGGGACTGGGGTGAAACTGCTGGGGGGGCGTAACAGGGAGGAACGGGATCATACTGGGCTGGACTGGGTCTGCTGCGGGGAGAGGAATCGTATTGGGGCCAGACAGGAATGTGTGGGGTGGGGGTGTGAGTCCTATTGGGGCTGGCCTGGGGTGTACGGGGGTCACCTCAGTGCCAGGCTGGGGTGATTGGGGTGACTGGGGTGGCCTGGGGTGATGGGGGGGGTCGGCTGGGCCTGGACTGGGGAGGAATGGGGGGCTCTATCCCTACGGGATAGTGGGAGGCAGGAGCATCACATGGAGCTGGGCCGGGCCSGTGGGGCCGGGGCCGCCGCGGGGCCGGGGCCACTCACCGTTGTTGAGCTTGTGGCGCGTTTGCTGCCTGCCGCAGTCGGCGGCGACGCCGTGGATCTCCACGCGCACCAGCGGGTCCACGATGGAGCGGCGCTTCTCGGCGTTGAGCTTGGGCAGCTGCTGCGCCGTGATCACCTGCGGGGCGAGCGGCGGCTGGGCCCGCGCCGCGGCGGCGACACCGGCGGCACCGGCAGCAGCCCCGGGGGCGGCTGGGCCGCGCGGCCACCCCGTGCGCTCACCCTGATGGCCAGTGCCAGGCGCGGGGCCGGGCCGGGCTCGGGCGCGCCGCGCAGGAAGCCGGGCTTCAGCACGTAGCCGCAGCGCCCGTTGCCCAGGAAGCGCCCGGCGTTGAGGTCCATCTCGTAGCCCGGCGTCTGGAAGTTGAGGGCCACTGCCGAGGGACAGAAGAGGGTGGCCGGGAGCCAGGGACGCCCAGATGTGGGCGTGGGGGAAGCGCCAACGCTGCCACCGTGGCCACGGGGCAATTGGGGTGGTCTGAGGGTTCCTTTGGGTTGAGGGGTGTTGAATCAAAGTGGACCGTGGGATGCGTGGTTGGGGTAGGCTGTGGGGTGTTGGATAAAGTGCTCCATTGGTTGTTGGGTCAAGGTGGGTCTTGGAGTGCCTGCTTGGGGTTCCTCGTGGAGATGGGCAAGGAGGTGTTAGCTTAAGGTGGTGAATGGGTTGCCTRGTTGGAGTGGGCTATGAGGTGCCAGATCAAGGTGAGCCATGGGGTGCCTGGTGGGGATGGGTCAGGTGCGCTGAGGTGGCTCTTGAGGTGCTGGGTTGAGATGGGTCAAGGGATCCTGGGCTGGTTTAGACCGAGAAGTGCTGGGTCAAGGTGGGCSTTGGGGTGTCTGATTTGAGTGGATCATGGGCTGTTGGGACAAGCTGGATCATAGGGTGCCTGGTTGGGGTGGACCATGGAGTATTGGGTCAAGGTAGGTCATGGGGTGCCTGCTTGGGATGAGCTGAGGCGTGCTGGGTGGGTTTGGGCCAAGGATATCTGTTCAGGGTGAGATATGGGGTGGCAGTTGGGGTGGGTCAGAGGTGCTGGAGTGGCCCATGGGTTGTTAAGTAGAGATGGGCCAAGGGGTTCTGGGTTGGCCTGGCTGGGGTGGGCATCTGGGTCAAGGTGGGCCATGGTGCGCCTGGTAGGGGTGGGCTGAGAGGTGTTGGGCTGTTCTGGGCCCAGGGGTGCTGGGCAGGGGTGGGCCAGGCGGTGCCAAATTGGGGTGKGTTGGAGGGTGCTGGGTGGGCCATGGGGTGTTGGGTCAGGATGAGCTGAGGGGTGCCAGGGCTCCCCGGCAGGGCCGCACCGAGCTGGCAGCCGGCGTTCCACATCTCCTGTGGGTTGTAGTTGGACGAGTTCATCTTGAGCCCCAGCGGGTAGACGCGGCTGAGCTGCTGGGCGTTGTAGCGGACGAAGGCCTTGCCTGTGGGAGCGGGACTGGGCTGGGTGTGCGGGGTGCCCGGGGGGACGGGGCACCCTTGGGTGCCGTGCATGGCCATACTGGCTGCCCCGGCACCCTCTGTCTGGGAGCGGGTCTCCTGCCAGTGCCCATGAAGGCACCCACTCAACCTGGTGGGCACAGGGCCTGGACCTGGATCCTGGCCTTGGCCTTGACCCCAGACCCAGGCCTTGACCCGGGACCCCAAACCTTGACGCTGGAGCCCAGACCCTGACCCGAGACCTTAGACCTTGACCCTGGGCTCTGACCCTGGATCCCAGGGTCCCCCAGCCACCAGGGGCCAGCACATCCCGCTCAGAGCACCCCCGGTGACAACCCAGAGCATCCCAGTTCATCCTACCAGTGGTTGCCCCCCACACTGGCCAAGCCTGGGAGCAGCAGCATCCTCACCTGCCTCCCTRATGAGCTTCCGGGCCTTCCTCTCGCTGAAGGACGACACCTGGCAGGGCCGCGGGTCGCGCAGGGCCTGGGCCAGGCCGGGGAAGGGCACGGCCTGGCAGTACACCACCACGGAGGAGAGCTCCGGGGCCACCTCAGAGGCCTCCTTGGCCTGGYGGAGCCAGAGCAGCCTCAGAGCCAGCCCAGCTCCAGGGCCACCCCTGGACCATGGCCCTCCACCAAAGCCATCCAGGGCTGAGCAGACTGGCACTGGGTGCTGAACCCCCAAGGCAATGGAGACTTTAGAGGCAGTGGAGCACTACTATGGAAAGTCCAAGACGACAGAGACCCAAGGCAAGGCAGAGCCCAAAGTGATGCAGATCCAGGACCATGGGCACCCCAAAGCCGTATAGACTCAAGGCTGTGGAGACCCCAAGAGAATGGATACCCTGAAGCAAAGGAGACCCTGAGGCAATGGAGAACCCAGGATGATGGAAACTCTAAGGTAATGGTGACTCTGAGCATGAAGTACCCAGACAAATGGGGGAAAACCCACAACCCACCTGCAACGGTTTGAGCTCCTGCAGAGAGTGAAGCGACTGGAAGAGGAGAAAGAGAAACCATGTCCAGGGATCCCAGGAGCACTTGGCCCCCGGCACCACCAGTCCGGCYATAGGATCCTCTCCAGCCTCAGCCCTGGCCTTTCCCAGCCAGAAAACCCAGGCTGGGTCTAGAATGGCCAGCAGGGCATCATGGCAGAACCATCGTGGCCATCCCTGGGGTCCCAGGGAGCTTCCCCCGCTGTGCCATTGGCATCGGGGCTGAGCAGAGCAGCAGCACCTGGGAACCAGTCTCATGTCCGCTGCTCCCTACCTGCCGCAGGGCTCTCTCCTGCAGCCCCTCTTCCTCCTCCTCTTCCTCCTCTTCCTCCTCCTCCTCCTCACAGCCCGACGGAGAGCCGCCGCTCTGCGGCTCACACTGCAGGTCCGGCAGCTTCTTCCCTTTCACCAGGACCTTCCCCTTCAGCTGCTGCAGGAGGAAGGAACAGGCTCTGGGTCGGGTGGGGACATGGGCCTCGCCTGACAGGGACGAGGYGGCAGCCCAGCCCCTGGGGTGGCCTTACCTCTGGGGACGGGAGGTCCTTGGGGTCCTGTCCCTCCAGCGGCTCAGTCAGCAGCATGTCCCCCAAGATGGTCTTCATGTGGCGGGCCATGGTGGCCTGCTGCTCCAGCCCGCAGTGGTTCTCCAGGGACAGGATGACGGGGTAGGGCGATTGCTGTGGACGGAGGGGCCGGGCAGGGCGGAGCGGGCGGCCGAGGCCTCCCGGCACGTGGGGCACCCGCTGCCAGCCCCGCCAGGCCCTGCGTCGCTCACCTTGAAGGCGTAATCGCGGATGCTCTCGATGACGTCCCGGAAGAGGATTTTGGAGGTGAGCGTGTGGCCGTGGTAGATGATGGGCTCCCCRTCGGAGCCCTCCCAGCAGTCCAGCTCCACACAGCGACAGCCCTTCATGAGCGCCCTGCCCGCGTGGAGCCACCTCAGCCCCATGGCACCAGAGCTGGCTGGTGGCCCCAGAACAGACCAGAGTGGCCACCAAGCCCGGCTGCCTCTCAGGTCACCCTGAGCCTCCCCTGGCCACCATGCGGGTCCCACCTGACGTAGGCTTCAGTGCTGCTGGTGCCCCCGATCTGATTGTTGGTCAGGTAGGTGTTGTGGGAGGAGGAGATGAAGTAGTGGCACAGGGGCTGGCTCATGTCCTGGTGCACCTTGGTGTGCTCCTGGTTGAGGATGTCCCCGTCGGCGGAAAGCAGATACATCATGAAGCCATCGAGCATCATGAGATCCTGCTGTTTGGCTGGGGGACACGGCGGGACGTTGGTGACGGCTGACACGTGCCCACACCACTACAAGTCCAGCATCACAGCACACGAGAAGCCATCCCCCCTCGAGGTCACACTTGCCCCATRCCCGGTACTGTGGCACCCAGGGGACACAGAGGTCCCCTTGGTGCCCCTTCCCACTTTGAAGTCTCCATAATGTCATCCTCACCCCAGTCCTGGCACCTGGAGGTCCCCTTGGTGTCCACCCCCACTCTGGTGTTCCCTGTCTCCATAGTGCCGCCCTCATCCCAGGCCTGGCACTGTGGCACCCAGGGGACATGGAGGTCCCCTTGGTGTCCTTCCTCATCCCAGCAGGCCTCTTTCTCCGTAGTTCATCCTGGGCAGACAGGCCAGGGAGCAGCAGGGCCATGGGCKGCCAGGGAAGGGACAGGGGACACGAGCTGTGGCTTCGACACCAGGACGTGCGGCACTCACCAGCGCTCCAGAGCTGCCCGCACCAACAAGCTGGGGACAACCCCCGAGCAGGCAAGGCCATGGCCCTGTCCCAAGAGCAGCTCTGGGCTGCGTCCCTTAASCCTTCCCTCCACACTGCCAATGGCAGAGGAGCCACTCCTGAGCTGAGCTGGCCTGTTCTCAGCCAGCCAGCTGGGACCAGGAACCCTAGCAGCATCAGCAGTACCAGCAGCAGCAGAACCTTCACCAGCACCACCAGCAGAAGAACCTTCACCAGCACCACCAGCACCACCAGCAGCAGAACTTGCAATAGCAACAGCAGCACCACCAGCAGCTCCAACACTAGCAGAACCTTCCCCAGCATCACCAGCAGCATCAGCAGCTCTAGCACCAGCAGCAGCAGAACCTTCCCCAGCACCAGCAGCTCCATGAGCACCAGCAGCCCCAGCAGAACCTTCCCCAGCACCAGCAGCTCCAGCAGCACCAGCAGCCCCAGCAGCACAGCCCCCAGCAGCACGGCCGCCAGCACCTCTCTCGCTGAGCTCGTAGGCGTGGATGAGGGCGCGCGCGCGCCGCAGGCTGGCGTCCTCGCCCTGCTCGCGCAGGAAGTCGCGCAGCTCCTCGGCCGACAGCACGCAGTCCTCGCCCGAGAAGCGCCGGAAAAGCTCCTCGAGCTCGGGGCGCCGCAGCAGGCGCCGGCAGAACTCCTCCAGCTCGCGCTCCTCCAGGCGCCCGTCGCCCGACCTGTCGCACTCCTRGGGGGACAGCGGGAGCCTGGGGGACGCGGCTGGACACCCCTCTGCTTGGCCACGCGCTCTAGCCCTCCCCAAGCGTCATGAGCTTCGGGGTGTCAGCTGCCTGCCCCARCACAGCCAAGCACGTGACGAGGCCCTGATGTTGATGGTGAGAGCACTGAGTTTGACAGTCCTCTGCCACGTTGAGAGAGGGGGGCGGCGGGCAGGACGTGGMGGGGGCTGGCGGTACCTTGAAGAGCTTGTAGGCGTAGACATCGTTCATGTCGATGTTGATCATGCGCAGCATGTCCTTGACCTCGCCGAAGCACATCTTGTTGTCCCGGTTCTTGTCCGCGCGCCGCAGGATATCGTGGATCCAGCTGCGCCCGGCTAAGGAAGCGCCCGGCTGTGCGTCCCCGCGTGGCGCCCGCCACGTCCCCACGTGCCCTGGCTCTCCCACCAAGGATATTGCTCGAGCTTCTCCCGCTGGCTCATGGCGGCCACTCGTGCCATGAGTTTGCTGAGTCCCTGCACCCAGTGGCGGGCGTCCTCCTCGGCGCCGGCGGCCAGGTCGAGGTTTTTGCGCTTGCCCTTGAAGACGATGGTGAAGCAGCGCCCCTCGGGGAAGGAGCCGCCGAACTTGCGCAGCCCCTCGGACTGGCGCCCCGGGCGCACGCCCTCGATGTGCATCACGGAGACTGCAGGGACAGCGGGCGCTCACCGTCCCCGCGGTGTCCCCCGTGCAGCCCGGTGCTGCGGGCAGCGTGCGGGGCGCCGCGGACGCCCTTAAGCTGCCTTTTCAGCTGCTCTAATSCCCGGCGAGACAGAGCCCCACGGGGATGGGACGCTGGCCGCAGTGGCGGGATGGAGCCCTCTCCTGCGGCCAGGCCGTGATCCCAGGCGGGGGGTTGGAAGGACAGGATGGGGTGCAGGGCAGGAGCCAGCAGGGAGGGAAATGGAGCCTCCAGGAGCTTGGCCTTGGCTGCACCAGAGGTGGTGGGATGCACTGGGAAGTGCTGGGAAGAGCTGGAAGGCACCGGGATACACTGGGAAGCACTGGGTTGAGGCTGGGGAAGAGCCTCAGTGGGGCCTGGCTCCCCTGGCTGCTGTGGCCATGGGGCAGATCCAAGCTGGGGGCTGGAGGCCAAGTCCCAGGGGGTGCCCAGGGACATCTCCAGAGTCCCTGGTCATGACCAGGGTCCCACRTTTGTGCCCAAGGTCCCAGCTTATGCTCAGAGTCCCAGTTCATAACCTGGACCAGGAACCAGGGTTTTGCATTGCACCTTGGGTGCCGGGTAGCACCCAGGGTCCCTGGCCATGCTGTGTCCCAGGCCGTGCCTGGCTCCCAGTGGAGAGTTCGGGCTCCTCGGGGCAGTGCAGGGAAAGGTCCCGGAGCCCCGAGCCCCCCGGGGACACCCCAGCAGCGGCACTTACAGATGTGCTTGGAGCGGGCGTGCCGGAAGCGCCTCTCGAACCAGATGGTCAAGCCGTCCTCCTGCAGGCGGTACAGGCGCTCCTTGGCCCGCGGCGCCTTGATCTTCCACAGCAGAGAGCCCTTCAGCATGAGCTTGATGTCCTCGTCGTCCGACAGGCCTGCGAGGGGACGGCCCCATTGGCACTCGGCACCCAGAGCCCAGGGCACCCTCCAGGCAGGAGAAGATGAGAGCGGACAGACAGGAGGGGAGGGGGGGAGGTGGGATGGGACAGATGGTGGAACAGGACAGATGAGACAAGGTGGGACAGACGGGACAGGACAGACATGACGGGATGGAGGGACAGGATKGGACAGGACGGGATGTGATAGGATAAGACAGGACAGGATAGGATAGAATGGGATGGGATGGACCAGATAGGACAGGACAGGACAGAAAAGGACAGGGCAGGACGGGTCAGGGCAGGACTAGACAGGACTGGACAGGGCAGGATGGGACAGACGGGATAGGACAGGACAGGGTAGACAGGACAGGACGGGATGGGGCAGATGGGATGGGACAGGACAGGGCAGGACAGGATGGGGCAGATGACAGGGCAGGACAGGACAGAACTGGGCAGATGGGACAGGGCAGACAGGACAGGACAGGACAGGGCAGGACAGGACAGAACTGGGCAGATGGGACAGGGCAGACAGGACAGGACAGGACAGGGCAGGACAGGACAGAACTGGGCAGATGGGACAGGGCAGACAGGACAGGACAGGACAGGATAGGACAGGGCAGACAGGACAGGACAGAACTGGGCAGATGGGACAGGGCAGACAGGACAGGACAGGACAGGGCAGGACAGGACAGGGCAGGATAGGACAGGGCAGACAGGACAGGAAAGGACAGGGCAGACAGGACAGGACAGGACAGGGCAGGACAGGAGGGGGCAGATGGGACGGGGCAGATGGGACAAGTCACCAACATGCAGCCCCCATGGCGCCTGCGCGGGAGCAACTCAGGGCAGTGGCTCTGGGGCCCTGCCCAGTGCGCAGGACAGGGGCTGTCAGATCCTGATGGAGCCACCCGAATGCTGCTCCCCTGCCCTGTGCCCAGCAGCCGCGTGGGAACAGCCTGGGAGCGGGACCGGAGTGAGTCACCCACCCGCTCGCTGGGACGGGGTGGCCAGGCTTGCACCCGGCCTTGCTGCGGGCCGGGACTTTTCCGTCTGTTAGCCAAGAAACTGCTCAGCTATTTCCTCCCCGCCTTTTTATTTTCTTTGCAATCTATAAAAATATCTCCGGCACTCCGGCCGCTCCCGCTCTACTCCTAAAGCTCCCCCGGGGCGGAAAACGGGAGTTTGGGGATGGAGCAGTTTTGGGGACGCTGCTGGTGCCAGTGCGTCACCGAGCCCGTGGCCCCGGGTGTCCACAGTGGGGCTCTTGTCCTTTCCGAGCGCTGGCAGCCCCCGCACATGCCAGTCCCGGAGCCGGGCGGCTGCGGTGTTCCCAGGATTTTGAGCCCACAYGCCCGGCCCGCGCATCCCGGCCCCGTGGGTGACAGCCTGCCCAGAGCTGCTGTCCCGCGTTGTGTGTGCGGACACACAGATGCACAGGAGCATGGATGCGCAAATGCATGGGTCCATGGACACACAGGTGTATGGACACAGGGATGTATGGATCTGCAGGTGCATGGATGCACGGATACACAGATTCATGGATACACAGGGATTTGTGGATACACAGATTCCCGGACACGAGGATTCAGGGTGCAGAGTAACGTGGGTGCATGGATATACAATGCGCGCACAGGGATGCATGGACATGTGGACACAAGGATGCACAGACAGGTGGACATACGGATGCACAGACAGGAGGACACAGGGATGCAGAGCCACGAGGACACCGGGGCTCCTGCTCGTGCAGACACCGCAGGCAACGGTCACACAGCTGCACCGAGACGTGCAGCTCCGGGCACACGGCCCATGCCCAAGCACAGGCAGGACCTGCCACCATGGCACCATCCCTGCCATGGGGACCTGTCCCTGTCATGGTGACACTTGCCCATGGTGAGGACCTTGCCCAACCATGGAGTCCCTGGTCACCTTGGGGACCTGTCCCTGCCATGGGGACACCTGCCAATGGTGAGGATGTCCCCCAGCTGAGGGACCCTTCCTTGCTGTGGACCCTCCCTTAGGGACCCTCCCTGCCATGGGGACCTGTCCTGGCCATGGGGGCCTCTCTATCTGTGGGGACACCTCGCTACCATGGGGACACTGACCCATGGAGAGAATCTGATCCAACCATGGGACCCTCCCTGCCATGGGGTGCCCTGTCACCCTGGGGCCCTTCCCTGCCATGGGGACCTGTCCTTGCCAGGGAGGTCCCCTGTCACCTCTAAACCCTCCCTTCCTTCCAGCCTCGAGTCACCTCCACCTTGGGGACCCTCCGTGTCACAGACCCCCTTCCCCCCGCGGGCGGAGCGGGATGGCGGGGGGTGCGGGGGGGCGGTTCCCCCATCCCGTCCCGTTCTCACCCATTTTCTTGAAGGCCCCCCCGGGCCGTCGGGGGCCGCCGGTGCCGTCCGCGGGGCCCCGCGGCTGCCGCCTCGCGCCGCAGATCATGGTGCTCCGCGCCGGGCCGGGCCGGGCCGGGCCGGGGCGG